TGAGGTCGATATCAATTACAAAATTAGTATTATTATCATGGTTTAACCCTTCCACTAGGTGTTCACTTCTTTTCTCTCTCTTCTTTCCTTCTAAATAAATCTTATTCTTAAGATTACGAAGTTTGTAATTAAAACAATAACTTGTGTTACACTTAAATTAAATTCTCAGACCCGTTTTATCTTCACTATGCACATATGACTCATACATATTGATATTTTATTATCCTTTTCATTTAATTGTGACTTTCATAGCATCACTCTAAACTATAACTGCACAAACATTTATTCTAGCGTCATATCTTACTACAATTACAAGTTATGTTTTCTTAATTATTTTTTGTTACTAATTTAACGATACACACATAGTCGTTTATTCTTGTTCTGTGTTCGTAAACATACCCATTAGACTGTTTGCGTATTTCACGTCTTCTTTATTTCTATTCCCATATTTTCTCCATTTCCTTCTTTAAACTCAATTCAATATTCTTCTCAATTACACAGACCCGATTTATTATTATTAACATTCTACTATTATTGCTCTAAATTTTTTAAAATGGCAAGTATAATGCTGACATTATTGAAAATTGTGGATTATTGCATTTTTCGAAGAAACGCGAAATGGTTTCTTCACAACACTTATGTACCCATAAGATGTTTTTGAATAATAATAATAATAATAATAATAATAATATAGATGAATAGTGTTCAAAACGATGTAAGAATAAGGAGAATACTTACCCTGTGGTCATCGCTTCTATGAAATGCCAACGGAGAGCGACCTATGTATGTTACTGTCAGAGGGCATAGACAGCAGTGACAAATTCTATGGAGGGCCAGACGAACCATAACTTGGTTTTCGTTCGGATGAGTCGTGCTGCACATCTCATATGACGACTAGTTAGCTTTCACTACATGCGCTTAACCATATCAACTAGCATTCAAATACAGCTTCGTATTATTTCATCCTCCATAGGCTTGTAGTGGGCGTCGAGTTACAGTTGCCTATGACCATCACTACAGATCGATTACTTGCTGATTACCAGGTTAAACCCCTCCGTAGGACAAACATTAGAAGGCAGTCGTAGGTTGTAGTTAGGATGTATTTGTTGGCGATCTCGTGGTATCGAAATAATACTGAGATCGTGTCATAATCTGCAAGCAAGACTACCGTGCGTATCTGAGTGGGTTCAAGGTCACAAAAAACGGAAAAAGTGTTTTTGGTACAATTAAACAAAAAGGTACAGTAAAACAATCACTGGTACAGTTCGTTATGAAAATAAATGTTTCCATTACACCAATCGTGTTCTCTTCATAGGAGTAGATCACTATAGGATTCAGGTCCTTTGTTCGAGAACTGTTTGTGGGAAGTTGAACTGATAATCACTGCGTACGTGTGGTATTTCACAATTTTTGGTCTGGAATAGAAATAGGATGTATCCAATAACGCGGAAGGATGTTTTTAACATCCAATTGTCCTCCATGTTACAGATCTTTTAGAAAAATTCATTTTCATTGTTATCACTAACCTACCCTATCCGTTTCTCTTCTTGTCAGCTTCGCATATCGGATGATCTTATACTATTGTTTGTTTATGAAGTTTGCTTAGTTAACCTGTTGACTACTCCACATCATTGTTTTGTGACTCCTCTGCATTCTAATTGTACAACCCCAATATTACAATAAATTAATCGTCTATATATAATTTAGAAGTTGCTAGTTCCATTATCTTAAAAATGATTTTAACCAGACTGTAGATCTGTGGACCCCAAAATAACGGTCGACTTCGCTTGTGTTAATGCAAGTGAATAGACAGACATTCTTTCATTAGAAGCCACCCAAGACCTGAAATTGTATCATAGACTTGTTATGTTTGAAACTTCACGAGTTCACTTAAGCTGCGAACGAGAACAATACTCAGTGACCAAAGACCAGTGATCTAACTATTGACGCGTCCCAGACCCGCTATCCAGAGAAGAAGTCCAGGCTTGGCATGGAAAATATACTCTACAACAGCCAGAAGCGAGCGAGCAAGCAGGCGAGCAAGAGAGCAGCAAGCAAGCGTATTTACACAAATATTTACAATCGATATTGTCATAGAAAATTTTTAAACACTAATCAATGAGTTCATCAATTGACCTATTTGCACATCTAATTGATAGGTTCATCAACTGACTGCTATTCAAACATTTAATCGATCAGTTCATCAATTGACCCCAATACAAATATTTAAACATTTAACCAATAAGTTGATCGATGCGATAAAATTTAAAATAAGAGTTTGGGGATCTATCGTCCCCAACACTCCTCCCTTTTTTAATAGCGGGCTTTCCTGGGGTCAACCTGCATCTTGACTGTAGCTCGCCGTTCTCTGATAGGTCACCGTCTGGGACGTGTTTCAGATTTTTGTTGAGGTTTTTCTTGGGGTGGGGTTGCCGGTAAGTTGAAAGTATCAAGCAAAATGTCGAGAGGAAGATTTACTCCTGTTGATGGGTGGTCTGGGGCTATCCGCTTACGTAGTTGATTCCGGTGTCTAGTCCACGTGTCTCTTCCCACCTTTACCTTGTACATAACTTGGCCTAGTCTTCCAACCACACGTGCTTCGATCCAAGGACCATGATTTACTCTGTAGTCTCGGGCGAACACAGGGCATCCAACCTCATACGCTGGAAGCTTCTGAGATTTGGTCTGAGGTGGTGGTGGTGTGGTTCTTGGGCACATGAGACTGTGGATCGTCCTCAATTTCCTTCCCATCAGGATCTCTGCCGGGGACTTCTGCTGTGGTAGCATATCACTAGGTGTTGTTCGGTAAACAAATAAGAAATTCTGCAGTGTTTCTACTGGCGTCCCCTCCCCTTTCGACTTCATTAGAGCTCTCTTGAATGTATCCACAAATCTTTCTGCTTGTCCATTTGATTGTGGGTGGTAAGGCGGAGAGTGGAAATGCTTGATCGATAGGCGTTTGCAAAATCCTTGAAATTGACTTGAGATGAATTGCGAACGATTATCGGAAACGATTATATCCGGTAATCTGTTGCGAGAGAACATCTCTGTCAAAAGTTGCATCGTTTGGGTTGTCGTTGGTGGCGTGACGGGCACAATTTCTGGCCATTTCGAAAAGGCGTCAACAACGACTAGATAGGTGATTCCATTAATTGAGCCTGCGAAATCGATATGTATCCTGGATCAGGGATACTCAGGCTGTGGCCATGGGACCGGCAGTAATTCCGCGTTACACTTGGCTGCTTGCTGACACTGTGCGTAGTCCTCTGTCAATAGGGAGGTAATAACTACATCTTCGCCGGCCGTATGGTGTTCGCTGGTTGACAACTCCGTCATTAGGTTCCTTGTACATGCTTCCAAGTCGTGTGGTTGTTGTCGTAGTTGGGGTTGTGATACCCGGTTGCATATGGTATTCAACGGGATATCAGCTAAATTTAAGTGATCGAACCAATCTAACTCGAGCAAATTTAGATCAGCTGGCGTTATGTAGCATACCCCAACAAATGTAAAATCACGGAAAGTAACTGTACATTCCATTTGTCCTAGGAGGTGAAGGTAATTACCACACGCAGTACGAGGCTTTTGCGTTGTACGCTGCAAGTTTCGGCTGCACATTTTGGTCCAAGTCTTAAGAGAGAGGATAGTGACATCTGATGCTGTATCTATTTGCAATCTAGATGAATGCCCATCAATACTAAGGGTAATAAATTTCCTCTCAACTGGGGTTGAGTTCTCACAGCTTGCTTTTAAACTCAACGAATTCGTGTTGGATCTAGGCGTGGGTTTTCTGGTACCTCTGAAGCTGCTCGGCTTATTTTTTTGACAAAACCCATCTTTATGACCCACCGCATTACATTTCCTGCACCGATGTTGCTTATATGGACAGAATCGAACAAAATGCCATGCACCGCAGTGCCAGCATGGAGCAAGAGGATTTGTTTTTGTCTGTCGACCTGAACTAGATGTCGCTGGGGCAGATTTATGCGAGTTGTGTGGTTGTTGGACTACATGAATTCCGGAAGGATCTGAACCACCACGCTGGACCATTGTAGTATCACGCTGTAGATTGATTAGACGTTGATATTCGTTTGCAATATCATTAAGAGTTAGTTTTGGGTCTTGGTCCAATCGACTTAGCAAACGTGTTCTAATATCACTGAACTTCTGCGATTGAAGGCTGCAGATGAGAATGAGTGCTTTAAATTGGTCTTCAGTAAGCGACTTCAACCGGAAGCGTTCACATTCTCGGTTGACGATACCCACATGTGTGAGAAAATCATCATCTTCGTTCATAGTGAGCTTCAAACATCGGTTACGCGCATTGAATAGTGAGGAGTTATCTCCGAATTGTTGGCTCAATAACTGGACAGTGTCGGAGAGTGAACGATCGCGTGGGTTTAAAGGCAGGATAGGTTGCAATACTTGTCTAGTTCACTAGGACCCAACTTCCGAAGCAGCAAGCGAACCTTCCAAGCATCATCCTGATTAGCAAAGTCGAATTTGAATAAGTTTTCGTAACGTCGGAACCACATATCAAACGTGACATTGGATTCTGGATCGTAATGAAACTCGGAAATACTGTTAGCGATACCATCAACTGATGGTGCAGTAGTAGTAGGATTATAACTGCTTGGTTGGGTATTAGACGTAAGCTTTGCATCTGCTAACATTTGAATAAGTTTCATCTGCTGCTCGAGTAATAATTCAAGTTTAGAAGGATCCATGTTTCCGAAATCTCCGTCGCCAAATTGTTATGCTTGAAACTTTACGAGTTCACTTAAACTACGAAGGAGAACAATACTCAGTGACCAAAGACCAGTGATCTAACTATTGACGCGTCCCAGACCCGCTATCCAGAGAAGAAGTCCAGGCTTGGCATGGAAAATATACTCTACAACAGCCAGAAGCGAGCGAGCAAGCAAGCGAGCAAGAGAGCAGCAAGCAAGCGTATTTACACAAATATTTACAATCGATGTTGTCATAGAAAATTTTTAAACACTAATCAATGAGTTCATCAATTGACCTATTTGCACATCTAATTGATAGGTTCATCAACTGACTGCTATTCAAACATTTAATCGATCAGTTCATCAATTGACCCCAATACAAATATTTAAACATTTAACCAATAAGTTGATCGATGCGATAAAATTTAAAATAAGAGTTTGGGGATCTATCGTCCCCAATAAGACCTAAAAACTTAGCCCAAAGAAACCAGGTGACTTGCACCAGCTCGTAACAATGGTCATATCTGTATTAATTTTCATAACTATTTTCACAGGCAGCTTTTCCGTTGACCGAAATGTAGTTCAAGGTCATTGGTTGTCGTAGCATCACAACGGTAACTTTTGAAAAATGCACGAATGTTTGAGAGCAAAATGTCATATCCTTGGTTGGTGTTCAGTGATCGTATTTAAGTGTTTAGGAAGCCCATATTGTGGAAAAACATCAATTGTTCAATCATTTTGTAGTGGTGGCCGGGACTTCCCAAAGAACTACCTTATGGTAGCTATGATTATTCAAATAACATTAAGAACTCCAGTCCAAGACGGTTGAATTCGCTGTAAAAACAATGACAATACCAGAAGTGGATGACAGCATCGTGCGGTAAAGTGAACAGTAAAGAACTTATTTCCTAGGAATTGTTGTTATATAATATCCCAGGCAAAGAAGTTTTTCAGGATCCCATGAATCATTATGTAGGACATTAATTATTTTTATAAGGGTAGATTAATATGACCAACCTTATCGTTGTTGTTTTTGATGTAACTAACCAGGAAAGTTTCTCCAGTGCAAAGCTTACCCTGAGAGAATTACGGAAACCTAATAATATACGTATACCGGGTAAGAGTACTTTCTTATCATATACCTGGCTTTTAGTCGTTCTTGTGGGCAATAAAACAGACCTGAAAGAGAAGCATATCAACAATGTGGAAAAAGCCCAAGGGTTAGCGGATGATCTAAGCATTCCGTATTTCGAAACTTCTGCTGTAAGTCCTTATTTTCGGTTTATATGGCATCTAGTGTGCACCATTCGTAGTACATACTGATTCAGAAAACATCTTTCAAATATGTATTCCCATATCATGAGTCATTCGGAGTTTAAGTTTTTTAATACATTCATCTATCTGGTCTGATATGCTACCATAAATGCCAGTTGTTAGCAGGTTTATATCCAACAGATGAATTTCTTATTTAAAAGAAAGTGGCGAAGTAAAATAACTCAGCCAGGACGAAAATCTAAAGGGTACAAGGATGAGCATATCAGAGCAAGTATCCCACTAAAAAAGCAGAATAGTGATGGAAAGATGATAACTGGTACTTAAAAGAGTGCAAACATGAATCCAAAACAATTCAAAAGATAAAATATCAAAATTATTCAGGTTTTAGAACCACTACACAACGACCCATTCGAAATTCCAATGAATCCGTAATAGCTAATGGAAAATTTGTGAAGTGTGGATTTCTGAATGCTCGAATGTACATACATACACTATTATTCTATGATAATTATTGTCGATACATTAAATACTGGCAGAAGGATTTGCCTGTGTTCACGACTACACCTTCGAAGTGTTGAATTATTCGAGTTTAATCAGAGTTAGCAACCTTTACTGGTATACAATGGTCATCAAGATCAAGTATTGTTAACTGATGTACAAATGTGTGCAATGAGTTGATCTTTTGCTAGAAGCGTTCTTTTTATTTATCTCTGTTATCTAGTCGGTTATATTCGCTAGTGTTGGTAACAAAATACTGACAGACGTAAACTGCTTTTCGCCTCATTCTATGATATATATACTACTTGGGATACATACAAAGAGATACTCGATTTTACGAAGCAAACGTATCATGCATTTTTCCAGTGTTTTGCCCAAAAGTCAGCATCAAGGTACAGATTTTAGTAATGGAGCTTGGAGAGCGATTGACTTGTCCCAAAGTATTTTGTGTCCGTTCTAATGATTAAGTGACTTTTGTGGTGCCTTACAGAGGTTGACAAATCTTTTAATATTGTAAGTAAATTGGGTGATTTTTTAGGGAATTTTGTATGTATACCTATAAGACAATTCGAGGTCTTATTTAGGGGTCAATAATTACTTTTTTGTTGGTGGAAATAAGTACGCGAACGTATGTCATGAAATTTCATTTTAAAATATTCAGGATGCACTAACCTTACCTCCTTCAAGATGTTTCTTGTGTCTAACAATACAATTGTCCCATTTCTATCTTGAATGTTCAAAATATTTATAAAATTCCCCATAAATTAGACTCTTGCGCTACCCATAATCTGTTTTTCCACAATCCCAATAGCCCCAAATTTTCTCTAGATTTGAGTTCATACTCGGATTCCCCGAAATTTTACAAGCAATCATCCGAGAAATAAATTAGTGATCCAAAAGCAAAAGGAACTCCAGATGTTCGATATTTACCTTAACGTAATAAGTCGATGACTGTCTTGATCTAGTAGCAATCTCGCAGCCTTCATGGCTTGCACTAGAGTGTTTGATTCTTTTAGAATGAGGTACTAACTTCAGTAGGTTGTCTCTATAAACATCGATCAAAACTTCATGAATATTTTACAGACATTTCTTCAAGTTTCACCGTAAACCATCATAAATCTCTTCGCGCGTTTATTAAACACATGATATTTTGTGATAATTGTTTTAAAACTTTCAGAAGGAAGCAGTTGGTATTGATGTCCCTTTTCTACATCTCATTAAGGAATATTATGAACTGTACAATGATGCAGTCAATGACTATCAAACTTTAGTATAATTACTACATATATCTTCAATTGATGTAACACATGTTTTTTTTCACTGACGGTTGGGATGTTTGATTCTATGATGGTTCTTCAGTGAGAAACAGCCTTGAAACATTTAAGCACTAAACTGCAGTAACCTTAGAGTAAATGAATAGTCTTTGGGTGATAATGATGCCCATATTAGGTTGTGTCTATTTCCATAATAAAATGTGAACCCTAGTTGTTGCTGAACATTTTATTGTATTTATTATGTTAATTTGATCGTTTTAAATGCATATTAGAGACAAATGCCGTTACATTCATGTCCTGTATTCAGATAAAAAAATCGACATTCATGTAGAGTTAAAAACTGATAAAATACTGTGTACATATTCATTTTGCGAATAGAAACAGAAAAATCATTCATCGCCAGTTATACTTGTTTATTTAGAAATCAAAAGGAGGAAAACCGTATACATCGAACGTTCTAAAACTGTTTTTGTTTATAATAAATCTGGTGATTCATTGACCATTATTGTACAGTTCAGGACATTTTAATCCCAGTCCATGCCCCTCACATTAGCGTAGCAAAAGAGAAGTTGAAGATGAACGAGGAATAACATCAAATACAATTAAATGCTAGGAAAAAAAGTAACCTAAGGGAACAATAAGATAGAAGACTAAAATGATGTGAATGCTGTGAATTCAAGTTAAGTGTAGTTATAGCACTATTTGTTGATGGTGAAAGCAATAATTACGTGGATACATTTACACAGAAAATCATGCAGACGAGATAATATAATGGGTTAGCTACAGGTATATTTAGATGACTTCAACTACCCAGTAAATATCTTGAAGTAGCAAACGAGTTCATGAAGTAAAATTAGAAGTCACCAATATTATGATTAATCACCAAATCACAAAGTTTTTAAAACGATTGTTTAAGGTTTATGCTTAAAATGATATACAAAACGAGCTAACTATGCTTGGGATTAAGTGTTATGTGGAGTATGTGAATTTTAAGTCATAAGTATATATGTAAACCTTAAACATTTCATTTATATAATATCATTAAAGGCTGTTGGTAGGAAGCCTCGGATCTAAGTTTTGTGGTGGTTGACACACGTTTGCTAAACACATATATATTTCTAAGGGAACTAATGTTTCTATAGAGTTCTGAATCGATGTCAGTCATTGACGCTATCAATAACTTATTCAGACTACAATTAACCCTTTGTAGAGTTAGGATATCCGCTCCAGCCAACCCAAAGTCTACATCTATAGCTTCCTAATGATCGCCTACGTTAGGTTTAATCACTCAATCTGAGTAAAAGGATTTTATTGTTTTCCTTTAGTTAATCTTATAAGCTACTCTAAAAAAGCAAGAATTGATAAGTCATGTAAAATTACAAGTACTATGATCGATTGACAAGAAATTTGTATTTGCTCAATATGATTATTTATAATTGGATTTAACCAGTCTGTTTGAATAAAGACTCTTTACAATCATCAGTAAATACCATAACCGCTGAACGAATAGGTGGCTATTTGTGGTAAACAAGTAATACATTTACTGTACAATTCAATATTTTGTGATCCACTTAAATCTGTTTTACATTACAACAACTTCAGATTCGAGCTTTCATTTGTCTTGTCGAAGTTCAGGATTTGCAGTATTTCGTAAGATCATTTCAAATTTACAGCATATGACAAGTCTTTAGTGTTTGAAGCGATGGGAATCATCTTTGAACTTAAATATGAAGAACAACAAATAAAACCAGGTACATTTTACCAATGTATCTTAAAGTGACCAAAGTGGACCTCTTGAATAACACCTCTAAGTACTGTTTAAAATATTCCAGAAACTTAGCAAGTCATACTCAGCATCCTGCATATAATTTTTTTTCTGAGTTTCGTATAATAAATTTCAATACATTCGTTTGCGGTTTGTGTTTCTTGAAGATTAAAAAAGACTGTGATATGCCTAAATTTGATAAGTACATGAAGTAAAGAGTGTATTTCTTAGATAATGTCATAATTTCTAATAACATAATAAAATAAAAACGAAAGAATATGTCAGTCATCTTCAAAAGAATATTAAAAGCCAATTCGTTTCATCTTGTGTGGTGGTCGGTATTCGATATAATCCTTAAACTTCGTAAACAGTTTGTCTTGGTAATAAAGATACAATGATATAGATACGTTGTTGTTAGGATGACTCAGTTCGTTAAGATGTTAATAAAATGACTTGATTGAATTAACTGTGAACAAACTCAATTCCACGTGATCTGTTATACTTGTTCCACATTCATAAATGGTTTTTGTTATAGACTTACGTCAATCTGAAAACCTATTGAAATAACGACACGTTTGTCGTTTGTGACAATAAAATTGATTTAGATTATATTCTACACACCTTTAACTCATGCCACCCTTCCATAGACTTCACGTTAGAAAGGGAACGAGACCAATCAATTCCTTTTCTCGATGTACGTCTGATGAGAAGGAGTAATGGTTCTTTAAGAAGATCCATCTTTAGAAAACAAACATGGAATGGCCAGTTAACCAACTTTTATAGCTGGGTTCCGTTAAGTAGGAAGAGAAACCTCCTTCATTCTTTATGTTATCGAATACATCAGATATGCAGTACGGAATGCATTAACGAAGAACTCACATTCCTCAAGAAGACCTTGACGGAAAATGGTTACCCAAAAACGTTCATAGAAAAGAATATGAATAGAAGCAGTTACGACAAGAAATCTAGTTGCTCCGTTACGAAGAAAAACCTTTATATAAGTCTGGAATTTAAAGGTGATCGAACATCAGACGTTACCAAAAATCGTCTAACAACAACTATTAGAAGAACATTTAACGCGGCTAAACTGCGAATAACCTTCACTAGTAAGAACTTATTTTCTGTATCCATAAAAGATAAGCTTCCGCGTCTGGTCGCCTCCATGTGCATCTACCAGTTCACCTGCTCTTGTGGAGCAAGGTACATTGGCCGTAGCCAGCGCTCGCTTCCAACTCGGATAGGGGAACATATCCCAGCTTGGTTCTATAAGGGTTAAAGGAAAGCAGTTAGGAGATCTATACTTGAACACCTAGTCGACTGTAACCATTCCACAGATCCAAAAAATGAATTTAAGGTTGTTTATATGATTCGTTCAAATCTACGCAGATTTCTACGCATCCAACTTTTAAAAATAGCCGAAGCTCTTACCATCCAGGAGCTTAAACCAGAACTATGCGTACAAAAGAAGTACGTCTTATCGTTATCGTTACCTTGGCCTTAATTAGTTTGATTATCCTACTATTAATGTTATTATTATTATTATTATTATTATTATTATTATTATTATTACTGCATTCCCCCTTTACTTATGTCTTATATTCTCATTGTTTTATTCGTGAATACTCATCATATCACCATATTTATTTTTACAACTCTATGACCTTTAATTATTATGACAAAGACATTTGAATCATTTTAATCATCTTATTATATTCACTAAATCTATTGTTATTGTTATTATTCATATTACGTAATCTAGTATTATAACCCTTTTTTTATTAACTGTGTTCACATTTCCTCACGGAATTAGTACTTTTACAAAAAACAAAAAAATTTCATATATATACGATTGTACAGCTTGATAATAAATTCGTTGAAAAGAGATCCCTTCGCTGAAATTCGTGTTTTAATTCTAATGTTTAAATGGGAATTATCTGTCAATACTATAATATCCACAAAACCCCACTATGATGATAATATTCACTTTGTTGACTAACTTTCCCTATCCTCTAGTTAGTGTTCAGTATGTTATTTATGTCGCTCCTTTTCCCTGTTTAATGGACTGTATTGTTTATTTTGTATACTAACAGTGTTAATTTACGTTTTAGAAACAGATAAAGTTTATCGAGCCAAGTAGCTTAGTTGTTTTGACTTTGTCTAAGCTAAGACTCTGTGCTCGACAGTCTAGAGAATAATTCAGAATTACACCTGTAGGAAATTACTTCCTACAAACATTTAAATGAATTCAGTTTGATAGGTGAAAAAAATGAAGAAAGAAGTTAAGATAGAAGTAACAATGTTATTTTTAGTAATTACTATTATCAAAATAGTAATTATGGCTCATCGCAATTCATTAGTTAGGATGAAAAGGGGAAATTAAATGCACGAATTATTGCTAAAATCATAAAATGTTAAAGGTGAAAATATTGACATTTTATTTAAAAGCGACACTAAATAGAGTACAGTTTAAAAAATAAGGAAAATATACCGTTCAGTTGAATGGAATGCTGACGGCAATTTTTTCCAGGTTTTGTATGACAAAGTAGCACCATTTATTTCACAAGGGAAAATAACATTTGATCGGTGGTAACAACGCACATAATTGTTTGTTCAGAAAAAAGCAAACGAGCATTTCAGAAAATGTAAACTTGGCACTTTTGAGATCGTAGTTCTGTTGACTGAAAAAGTTTCAATTGGTTTATTTGTAGGTATTTTTACAAAACTATCAATGCTCTAGCTATGGATAACTTTTATTACTTTTAGAGTATTCCAGTGCAGTATTGACAAAATAGTTATAAAAGACTTTTTCCCCCGATATTGTTAGAATGCAACCATAAGTACTGCACAACATGATATCGGGTTATTATTTAATGGTCAGTTGGTTCAACTATTCCTGTACTAAAACGGTTTGTTATGGCCCGGATAACTCACTTGTAACGTCTTTGACACCGGTTAGCACTAGTCTGAATTCTACTAATAGTATTAGTGTCTTCAGATACACCTGACTAATTTGAGTCAAATATCACAGAAACTAACTCCAGGGCGTTGGACCGATGACTTCAAACTACGTATAAGATAATATCTGTGTAAGTAATGTAGGGTATGGAAAAATTAGACATAGAAAAGCAAATTAATTTTCGTTATAGTACGAGAAAAAGGAACAAGCTTGGTTATACCGAAAAAACATCCTACCAATTAAGGATTCAAATAAGCCATGATGGAGTACTGACTTAATGTTATTGCTAAGTGAATTCTGTTTCTCAAGGCGATTACCTAATTCATGAGTTAGTTCACCTATGCATTATCTGAATTTAAATATATTCCCTTATTTAGATCTTAGCGCTTTAAATGTCCAGACAAACGATCAGGCCTAAATAACAGCATCTCCGAAGTTGCAGGCGAATTCATAGTTTTTAGGTTTTCTCGTATATAAGGAAGTTGGGTTAATAATATGAAAAACAGAGACTTAGGACGTTCACTTGTTGATTTTCTTAAAACCTCAATAAGATTATTTTTGGCTTGGTAACACACTAGTGAATAATTATTTAATTAAAGGTGGGTTCTTTTACGGAATGATATAAGTCTGATGAGTTGAAAAACACTGAACATTCATTTCTTTTCGTTTTACAACTAACAAGAGTAACATTATTGTACGCTGTATTTAACGTTAGATGGTCGAGTATAGTTCATGAAAAGCAGTAGATCAAAGTTTTATTTAGGTCAAATCTCCTTAGCAAGGCGCATCTGGAATACTAAGGAACGCAATGTACCATAATCACGAGTCATTTAACATTGCGACAGTAAACAAAGCCGACGGAATTTAATCATGTAAACGACACGAAATTAACTATTGATCAGTGACTAATGATTTTGTAATTCACAATCATTCAGAAGGTCACTACTAGCTAGAATTGCTGAATGTTAATGTCTGTGATTCTGGCTTAGGTCTCCAAAGGAGCATCATTCCCTTGAATTTGGACATAGATCCGGATAATGAGTCCTAACCAGCAGTTAATTTGTCAAGTTGCAGAACACTGTGAAATCCAAGATGGTGCTATCATTTGTTGATTTTAGTCTTTCAAAAACTTTTAAAATTATTCAGACCCATTTGTTTATTAGGATATGTGACACAATTTTGGAGACATACTTCTCACAAATATCACTAATATTAATGATTAGGAATGAAGAAAAGAAATTAGTAATAAAATCTACCAAGTTTTATTCCTAAGTATCTATGACCAAATTTAAACATCTTACAATTACATACAAACACATTTTTACAACTAGGAACGTAGTTAAATAAATGTTACGTTATTTATTATTTATAATAAGAATTTGAACTTACCGGAAATTTTTGAGATCACATGATAAGTTTCATTTGAAGTAAACATAAAATTTCAAAGTTGTTGATATTTTCAGAAAAAAACTAATATTATTGAAATAATGTATTAGCAAACTGGTGAAGAAATATATATTGCGCCTGAAATTGATGTAAAACAACAGAGAACAGTCATTTTTCCATAGATTGTCTGATATTAAGTCAGCTTGATATCCACAATTAACACAAACTAGAAAACCAATAAAAACACGAAAATATTAAATTGTTGTTTCGTCCTAAGTTGAAACTCTTCAACAGTGCAATTCACTGAGGGTAGAATCTCAGGTTCGTCACTAGTGATTAATTTTGGAAAGATTTCATATGCAGAAGATATTATTGATGGAATACATTCCCGATGACAGCCAGTTAGATATAACCTAATAATATTGTGCAATGATTGACTTTCAAAGATATAGACAACTAGATTGTGACTTAATGATTTAACAGCATCGTGTTAGTTGCGGCGGTTCCATGTACTGGGTTCGATGCCATATGGGTGCATGAGTATATTTATTTATTTAAGTACATGATATTAGCCCCAAATGAGCACCAAAACAAATGCATGCCATAAAATAAGGAAATGCGATTGTGAAGGGGTAAAGAATGGAGGATGTGTATAACGCAAAAGAATAAATGAATAAAAGTACGTTAAGAGTCGCATATAAAACAGTTCAGTTTAAAAATATATATATAACCAAGAAAAATCCCTTCAGTTAGAGAATATCATTCTAATTTAGAAAGAAGTAAAACGAAATTACGACAAGATCGCCACTAGCTTTTATTTTCAGGTGTGAGCGACATCTCGGAACCCAACCAGAGAATTCTGGAAAACCGATAGATGTCATTCCTGTACAATTCCCTTGCATACTGCACAAAAGTGTAACAAACTCATTAACTTTCCCCTTTTACCAACCAGTCGAAGAATCGGAAAATAATGCACGATATGCAATTCTCTGGGACAACATCCGTAACACAAAAGATGGTGGCACCAATTTCATCACTGTCACTGTGCCTGAACACATGCTTCTGAACCTCTGCATTTCTAACATGGCGTTATCACTGAATGTCGGCAATCCTTCATAGACAATGATAATTAAACGCGGATAGTCGCTTAACATTTTCAGCTGGAAAATGACAGGTTTCGCAAGCATAGAACGAAACCGCTCTCACCGACGCATTGTAAATCTGTCCTTTTACAGCCAGAATTATATAATGAGGGAATCAAACATGGCCTAGATTAGCATAAGCCTCTCTAACTTTCACTATACGCATAATGATCTCATCACTCACGTTACCACACGCACTCAACCAGGTACCCAGATAAACAAACTTTTCGACTAGTTCTAAAAGCTCATCAAAAACCTTGAGTATAGGTACAGACCACTATCAGTCTTGTAAAAGCACCTTGGACTTAGAAGGTACGAACTACGTGCCAAGCCTACGGACGCTCATCGCCAACTGAATAAGTGTGCATTTCACAACTTAAGTATCACCCAAAGTAAGAAAATATCATCCGCATACTCAGGTTTGAAAGATCTTTCCTCAGGTGACAGAAACACACCAGCATAGCCCAATTTTATCAGAGATGTTCCTAGGGTATCATCGATGGCAAGGCTAAAGAAGAGTAGTGAGAATAAGCGACTTTAACATATGGTGAGTTTTACCAAGGGAGAGAAGTGGCTTTATACTAAGGTATTTGTATACAGTGCTTAAGATGTTAGTAAGCTTTTCAGGCACTCTTTTCTTCAGCAGACAACCCCAGAGTACGATCCTGTCCAACAAATCAAATTTGACACCGCTGACGAGTACTACACTAGCGTAAAGTATCTATTTACTTTCCCTAAGCTTTCATCATTTGTACAACTTCTTTCTTGTGTGAGAAGCAACTTGGTTAAAAGTGGTGATTGTCCAAGCGTGTCACAGACATCAAAACATTTCCGTAATGCTGGCTACAGAATTCACTTCAATAGTTAATGGATCCCGTTGCAAAACTACATTTCTTATAACAAGATAAGCATTAATATTTTTTATGCAGTCTATCGGAACATATGAGGAAAACGTCTTGTGCCACCAAGCTTCGCATTGTCCCTTCCAGCCGTCAAATAATTCCTAAATGTGTCAAACAACAAACTCTCGCATTGGGCCACACCAATGTGTATTTATAAGTTCACTGGCTCATGTAAAGGAGGTTACATAAGTCACACAATGCGAGCGCTTTCCAAACGCATGTTCGAACATTATTTCGGCTTTCTTTTGAAAGGTAAATGTAAGTCAATCAAGAGCTCAATATTAGAACATCTTGTGAACTCCAGTCACATGACCTTACCTGATAACCACGTTAAACCTGTCTATACAGTCAGATGATTTAGTTCAAAAGGAGTGAAAATTAATAACCTTTGCACTTCAGAGGCCCTAGTAAAACAATATTTTCAAACCTGGAATCTGTTTGCGAACGATTAAATACCTAATTAGATAGTTCTTTATAAATGCCTGCACTTTTTTGATGATGGTTGTAGTAGTTTTCCAAGTTACAGCTCCGTACAAAAAAACTGTCTTGACGTTTGTGTTGAAAATTATAATTTTGTTATTGACTGAGAGTTATTTTGAGTTCCAGATGTTCTTCAATTGCAGGAATGATGAACCCTATTTTGCCAATCAGTGCCTTCACATCTGCATCAGATCGTCCGTGCCTATCAATGATGCTGACCAGGTATGTAAGTTCCCACCTCTTCCACGGCTTCTCCATCAAGTATGATTTCCTTTGTGTATGTTGAGGCCTGCTGATGCAGAGGCTTCTGCTACACTGGTTGTCCTGATCTGCATTTGTTCGTGTGAATGGGATAGAAAAGCCAGATAATCTGCAAAGTCGGAATCGTCTAGTTGTATCCAAGCTGTCCATTGTATTCCGTGCTTTCTCTCAGATGTAGAGGTCTTCATAATTCCATCAACTATTCCAACAAAAGAGAGAGTAAGTAGTCTTGCCTGACATCGATATTCATTGGGAATGCATCTATCAGTTGACTGCCACACACAACTTTGCCGTGGGGTCTGTCGTAAGAATTCCGTATGATAGTGACAATTTTCTCAGGTAAGTCATGGCGCTAACGCATAATTTTGGTAAATAGTAGTTCGATTTTATTATGTCCTGCTAATGTTTTAATCTTCCTGACTTTAATTATTTGTTATTATTACCTTGACGTTTTTACTTTATTCTTCGCCCTTTTCATATTCATCAAGTGGACGATTATTTTTCTCACACCCGATTTCACCTTATTATTTCTATTGTTCGCTGAACTGTCTACTATCATCGAGGGTTATGCTTGAATCCTAGTGACCATAACATCACATTGGAACACTAGGAATCCAGCTGGAATCTAATAGCCAACGATCAAACGATTATTGGTTGGTTGGGTGCTTTGATGAGTTCAGTACAAATTGAAGGCGGTTATCATCAAGAAAATGATATCAACCAGAGAATAGTTGCAAGACCGGGAAGAGTCGAACAGCTGTTTTGAATAATGATTAGTTCTAAATGTAAACTGTTGGAGGACGATTCAATGACCTAAGAGTATGGTGTTTGACACGAGACCCCAAAAACTTTGGTTTTGTTTTGTGTGATATGATGACTAAACACTGCTGAGGGAACCATTAGTATGACGTAATAGTCCTTCAGTGGTTCCTAGTTTTTAACGGTTCTCCAACTAATATAACTCTGTGATGAAAATCATCCTAAACTTATGTTATGTCCCGACACGAATAATGAATGGTAACTTTTGGAATCTATTGATGGACCAATACTAAACGTATATTTCTATTGTATAATTATTAAGTAACTAAACTCTGCATATTCATATTCCTCTTATTATTCACAGCCACATCTGGCTAATTCTTGTACAAATGTTGTTTCATATTTTATTGGTACGTTGTGGTCTGTTTGATTGGTATCTAAACAGAGTATGTTTGATAGACATGATTCATATTGCAGAGGCTAAGATTGATGTTCTGGACTTAACTGGCTGGGCTAGGCGGAAAGCAGGACCAATCAGGACTCTAGGCTGCTCGCACGTGTTTTACGCGTCCTCGGTCCGATCGATAATTCGCTGCTTCTGATTGGCGGCTCTGGGCATAACAACTTATTATATTGCCATTCACTCAGAACACTTGACAATTGCACAACTGCTCGTAGTAAATAGGAGTGTCATACAGTAGTATAAAGATCGGCTTCTGTTTAACAAATTTATACTGAATAAATATAGTTTAATTGTTTGAAAACTATTTTTAGTCCGAACCAATTACTTTAACATAAAATTAAGTGCTTACAACTTTTTGTACCATCGATGGACGACATCGTCTCATTTGTAAAATGATACCAGGTATATCATAATAAACACAATTGAATTCTTTATAGATTTGTAATAAATCAGCAACAATAAACGTACCAGTTCTACCAACACCAGCCCTGTTATTTTTAAGTAAAAAGTCAATTTACATATGTATATATATTCGATATGAAAAAGGTTTTGAAACAACGTTAGGTGAGAATCGGTAAAAGGCTTTTTCTACTAACTTATTAACCGAATGATGTTTTGCTCAGAGGCCTAGGTTTGATTTGGAATGGGCAGTGAACACACACCGTTAGGGAGGAAAAAACTATTTCGTAAGTAACGTATACTTCATGAATCCTAAGCTTGAAGTTCGATCCCTAGAGATTACAGGTGTATACTGATAAGGAGTCTCATACTAAAACTGCAGCTGCTCAGTCCTCCTAATTTTCGTTGCTCTTATCAACATAAATTATTCCTGTGTGAAAACCACTTTCATACTGAATTAATTTACACATTCTACTCAAGTAACTGATGAATCAATTTTATCAGATTATCACTTACGAAGTGAATGTACATATAATCAGCCTTGTGTTATGCTTTAAGAGCAAGGAGTGTTGGTGTTACCTACATGCTCGAAGAGATATAAATCAATCAGTGATCTAATTGAAAACTACAAAGGATAAATGTGATTCAATGCTTTATTCATCAGTATATATATATATATATATATATATATATATGCGTTTCCTCAAATCTACGCTAATGAAATTTATTTTTAATTTAATCACATATAAAGACTTGCACTGCTGTTGTCCAAAAAGGAACAAAAATCGCTTGTAAGGAGGAAACCTCATAGATCCAGTGTCACCAAAGCATTCTTTGAAACAAAGAAGGAAGGAATAACAATGAATGCTAACCAGTACTATTTTAGCGACCTCCCATTATCAAAAATCTAGTTATAGAATATGCTATTAAGAACAGCAACATAAATTGGAAACCTTGATTACTTACGTGCAATGCACAAGAGTTGGAGAATATCGATGTGATTCTGCACACTTTAATTCACGGTAATCTTTCATAAATGTTTGAAATTCACTTAGATTTGGTACATCAAAGTCTGGCCAAGTCGTCATATGCAACTGTACAACATATTTGGAATTTTCTGGGTTATTTGACTGATTGTTAACCTTATGGAGAAAATCATAAGAAGAATTGTTTATTATTTAAATTGTTTCACCATCAAGTCAACTCTGCAAATAAATAATGACTACATAAGCATGATTTAATTTTGTTTGAATAGTTACTGAAAGATCGTAGAATACGAGACAATTAGTTGCACGCAATAGTCTTAATTTCACTACGAACTTTCTATGGTAAAATCCTTTGTTGAATTCGATTCTAAAGACTTAAATAATATGACATAGTTGTTACGTGAAGCTCGATTTATAATTTACGATAGATAACAATCACACAGATTCAAGTTTATTATATTAAGTTCACTACTACAACTATAGACTTATTTATATTGTTCAGTGGTTGGAAATAGTAAACATTTGGAGTAAATTTGTCGGTAGTAGTTGTTACAGATTGACCTCATTTAGTATACTATCAAATGTCAGTGTGTATTGAGTTCATGTTTTTCTTGTGTATGGAATTCCTGGATTGTGGACAGTGAAGACACTTCCAGAGGTTGTACTTAAGACTTTCATATTATATGGTTAACCAGCAGACCACTTGGCTGAAAATTCTAACTTGCATCGGCTCATAATAAAGCGAAACGAACATCCAATCCCACTGATGACAACTGCTTTACTTTGGATATGTCCAGACTTTATCAGTTATTATCATTATTAATGGCTTTATTCAGTACTATGTGTTTATTATGATGTGGCATTCGCAGCACGAACTATTTCAGCAAGTTTCTTTTACAAAAAAAATCGATTACTGAATACATGTATACCTGAAATAAGAAAATAAACTATTTGAAATTAAATGAAATGTTTCAAGGTAATAATCTATACAAATCTTAACAAGCAACGTGTTCAAAAATACAAGTTTTTGACTAGGTCAGCCCTTAAAACTTATTCGTCACATAGTATATTTGTTAGATACGATATGTAGAGCTTTTATACATTTGCCTATGTGCATAGATTCTATTTTATCGGTGTCTTGTTCTACCAGAAAATATACATGGAAAAAAATATGAATGCAGTGGATGGCTTTTGTCGTACGGGATTTTGGTACTAGGACGAAATAGCTGTTAACTGCTGCCTAGTTTGTAACGGAACTTTGAATGAGGTCAATTTGTGATGAATGTAAACCAACCTTCACAAAATCTCTTCAACAATTTAAGCTAAATATTTTATATCTGACAGACAATCATACAATGGGCACTTTCTAGGTTGCAAAGCATTGATTTAATCACTGTACGACGCTATTAATGTGATCATTGACTCGAGATACCATATTTCACAATAAAATGAGAGGTAATTAACAAGATGAAATAAGATGAAATAATGATCAATTTGATCATAGTGGCTAGGTAATTAATTTATTTACCAAGTACTATTTTCAGAGTAAAATATTTGAAGGCTGGAGTGATGAATATTAGTAAATGAGATCGGTACGATGGAACGATGTAAGCACCATGATGACTGGTGAAAGAAAAAGGAACATATAAATTCAAAAAAGCCTCTTAATTAAAACCTCATTTGAACCAAAAATATAAACCCGTTTCTCTCAATTTATCTAACCAGATATCACAGTGAGAATAAAACAATGATGTTAAGCATTAAAAGTTATAGTAATATTTGTTTTATGACTTTAAAATTTGAAGATAGATTTGTTAGGGCTTTAGACCCATTGAAAATGACTGTCGGATCAATTGCTACAAGTTAAAAAGTAATAAATGGATCTCATTATTGATGGAAACAACGCTAATCCCGGTGAAATCTTAAGTGGTTAACTCAAATGGAGTGACTGGGTTTGTATTCGACTTAAATGTAGTCAAGTTTATAAAAATGTTTAAAATAGTAGCAAATGACGTTATATTGTCTATTCCATAGGGTCGATTGGTAGATAACTAGTTAGTATAGTGCTCAGATTCCTTGGTACTATGAAGTTTGTATATGTTCTGATATAATACATACTAACATGTCACTAAAGACGATAGATAAATAAACATAAAAGCAGTGAAAAGTATAGATAAGAAAATACGCTCATGACAAACATATTTCTGGTTGAGATAAATATTACTAAAGGTCCGAACTCCTTTATAATATCCTCGAAATGCTGGACAACTGTTTTGCCGCTACGTTGAAATAATAAAACTTGGGTCTCTAGGTCTGTCATTTAAAACAAAATTTTTGATTAATACATTACATCATCGAGTCAAAATATACTCATAACTCTACGTATGTTGTAACCTCTATTTGTTTATCCTGTTTGTAAACCCAAATCTAGCAAATCTAGGATTCATGGCTCTCATCCATGCGGCCCGGATTCGAGTCCTGGCGCAGGAGCGCTTTTGCCCTCAAATGCCCTGGTATGGCTGAGGATGGAAAGAGTCCGGTCTTCATCTCGAAATGCTCTCATATGGTCACGCCTACAGAGCCACTGTCAAAGAAGTCCTACTCAATGTCTTCTCGAGGAGGGGCGTTGTTTACGAAATTGGGAGGACGAAAAGCGAATGTCTGGCGCTTTAACCGGGTTGGTAGGTACAGAGAATCCATCTAGGGTAGTTGGAATAACCTGATTCCAAACCAATGGTACACATGGCCTCCAGGATTCCGAGGTAACAAACGGAGTAGAAACCGATTGTTGGTCACCGACTACCGTGGCACTGAATCTCCTAATGTTGCCCCATTGCCTTACGGATTATACCTTTAGGTCAAGCGCTCCGGGTGTGGCTCCCCAAAAACACCACCTGCTTCGGTTTGGACACCCGGGCAGTATCACAGCCCACACGCGAATCAAATGACGATTACTACTGGAAATATTCTTGCATCAATTAGCATTCAGGTAAATCACATTGACAATCATTTGATAACATTCTTTATATACTACGTCGCTTATCTACTCTCTTCTGTTTTCACTTTGTGTACTCTTATTTTCCAACTTATACCGAAGCTCGCCTATGGTGGAAATTCTGTCCTATCTAAACAATCTCGAATCACTGACTGGTCGAAAGTTGAATGCTACCACCGACTTAGAATACTGAAATTCTTTCTGAAACCACGTATATCATTCAAACTGGCTTCCTTCAACGTTCACACACTAATGCAGATCGGACAACGGATAGGTTTGGCTGTCTTTAGAAAGTCTTAATATCGATGCCTGTTTGTCCGTGACCCGTGTTTAGGACTAGTGAAGTACTACAAATTAGCTCTCCATCCGTCGCTTCAAAAGGTTTATTTTACGTGCGCTTATCCGGGGACCCTGTGGCACCTTCGTCTGGTTTTGCTGGTGTTGGTGTCGCACTAAATGCCAGAGCTGAGGCAGCACTAATCGATTGGATCCCCATTAACAGTAGGTTATGTGCTGTTATATTAGAAATTTCCATCAAAGTAAGAAGAAATCGGTGTGAGAAACGATGTCTTTTCGTCATCTCCACCTATGCTCCGACAGATTGCAGCCCGGATGCGATCAAGGATAAGTTTTACCACCAGTTAACTGTTCCTCTTCAGAAAGTGTGCCTGATAGACATTGTAATACAAGACGGAGACTTGAAAGTTCAGTTCGGGCGTCTAGGCATAGAAGGGAGTCGTTTAGGTAGCCGATGGGGACTTCTTGGACGCAAGTCAGATAACGGGGACCGTCTACTTCTACTGTGCGCAGATCACAACCTGTTTCTCACTAGCACTAACTACCGGCACAGTCATCGCCGATGTACCACCTGGCGTCCTCCCTCTGCATCTCAGATTGACCACATCGTGGTCAGCTACCAGAGGCGTGGTTGTGTACAAGACTGACACTCCTTTTGGAGTACCTTTCTAGACTCCGATCATGCCCTTGTTTGCGCTAATCTTACCTTGCTATTCACTGGCCAACAGATTCATCGTCCTAAACAAATCGATGTCAGTAAATGGGTTGCAGCTTCTGTTGTAACTAAATATCAAACCGAGATAGGTTTGAGGCTATCTACCATCTATGGATGAGCAGTGGTTGAAAATGCATAATGTCATGAAAATGTCAAGTCCCTCATAAGCACTGGGTTTCTTCAGGCTCCTTACAAATCGATGGAGCCCGTCGGTCTGCTCCGGGTGATTGCGAGTTTGACCACAAACAAAGATTTACGAAATGAAATTGTGAAGCAGCAACTGCATCTGGTAACTGCTGGAAGCTCGTTCAACTCATCCGAGTCACTAGGAGCAAGAACACTGGTGTGAGTGAAACAATCTGTGAAGGTGGCGGGATGCCAATCAGTAGCATTTATTGACGTTCTGGACAATGGATAGAGTTTTTCGAGGAGCAGCTCAACTGGTCTGCAGTCCCAGCAACATCGATCAGACTTTCCTACCCCCATGACCCGTGACAACTGATCGACCTAATGAGGCGGAAGTCCTCCAGATCGACTTACGCCAATGTAAGCCATCTTTGGCGCCTTCGTGATGTTAGTCTGAATGTAATGGTCGGATCTACAATGCGTCGATGAGAGCAGTTTTGCTCTATGCTCGTGAAACCTGGCCTCTACGGATTGAGAATGTAGACAACTCTGTGTTTGATCATCGTTTTCTCCGAAGGATTGCTGACATCCAGTGGCAATACCATGTCAGTAATGCAGGAATTCACCATCGTGTGTTTGGGTGCAGAGACGATAATTCAATTGGTGTCACTATCTTGGAACATCGACTTCGGTGGCTTGGACATGTCTTACTAATGTCATTTCAGAGAATTCCACGTCGTGCATTTCATGTTATCATACGCACTTTACATTATATGTGTCTTTATATTCTGATTGTTATTGTGTGGCGCATATGTAATTGGTGCCCTGTTGTACCAAAGTTAATGTTCTTAAATAAAATATTTAATCGTACTTAAGTTTACTTTCATATCCATAAAAATCACATAGTTCAAACCACGACGCTTGGTGGTACAATCAAATAAAGATACTGTAGCTAATACCTTGACGTGATGGTCAAGTTTGTCTGTTGTGATGACTAAACCGAACTGTCTTGGCTGGAACACATGTTCTTCTAGATCCTACTGTAATGAACGAAGTCTTGAGTGGTAAACCAATTTATTATATTTAGCAGAACCACATAGTGCATTTGTAAAATATGAAAACAGTAGGTTAAATACACCATTTGAACATCTTTAAATTGTCTCATACATACTCTAGTGTTTTTTCATTCCAGTCGCTACTCAAACTGCTTCTTCTTTTCATTTTTGTGTTGGTTACATGGATCTTCCCATTGATATTTAGGACTGCAATTGATCAGTCTCTTATTGGCATATATACATCCTGTGAGTAGTGCCTCGATATTGCCTTCAGTCACAAGTATTACAAGCATAGCAGTAAAATCATCACGTGCGTTTAGTCCTGTTTGGGGCTCGTCAACTAGACGTACCTGCGTCACAAAGTTGATAAGCGAACGGTACTGGGTCTGAGTACCGGAGTGTGCATCAACGCTGGAATGCGGGTACATCCAGCTGACGATTCCTATATAGAACGGAACGCGCGTCCTGGATTCCACTGATAGCGAACATAATCTCTGCTCAAGATGTTTGTTCGTTTCTTACTCCTATCCTCACGTTCCTCTCCCATCAGTAAAATCCTACTTCAAAATCTTGATCAATACTATTAATATCCGTCCGTTTAAGTAGCACATTCCACACCACAATATCAGGCAGGTCAGTTGAAGAACGGCAAGACTAAAACCAGCAACTTAAGGTCTGAGGGCGCAGTCATATTATTTTTATTTGGCTTTAGTAAAAATTCTCTAAGAGATAACATTTTCATCATCTGACCTTTTAGGGATTGATCTCCTATCAGGAGATTCACTTGTTCACTTAGAATGTGCAAATGATATAGTTTTCTTTGTTGAAAACGCTGACAAAAGACAGTCTCTTGACCATCTTAAGCAACAGTATAAGCATGTTTGATATGCAGTTCTCTCCCTCCAAACGAAAAATGTTGCTTTAGGATTAGCTTGGGTTAGAGCCTAAGTTAACGATATCCAGTAAAGTACTTGGGCATGCCGACTGTTTCATTTATTTTGGGAATCTTACCAGTACTGATGGTCTGGTGTCTGCCAAAATCTCGGCATGGATTCTGAAGACTCGACTGGCTTTTGCCAACTTGCGCCAATTGTGAGATATCCATTTTCCAACAAAAGAGCGAGTTTGCCACACAACATACAGCATGTTCTAATTTATGAATGTGAAACATGGTCATTAAGAAAAGAGGATAATCGTAGGTTACAAGTATCCAACCATAGCGGTCAACAAAGCTCTTGTATTTTGGAACCACGAAGTAAGCAATATCTAGGTTAGAAACATAGCACTTGGTGAGTATGGGAAATCGATTGAAGAAGTAGTGAATCTTCAACATCTAGGGTGGTTGGGATATGTGTTACGTATGCTCAAGTGCCGTCTACCTTTATGAGCCATGTTCGCTCTTGTAGTATTATGTTTAGAGAAAGCTTGAAGCGGCCAAAATGAAAGATGCCATCAGTTCACCGATTTGTAGACAATTGGATTCAGCCATGTCAGTAGGTATAGACCACCACCCAGTTGTAGTCCACGTGTTTATCATAACCAATGGTTAGATTCATTGAATGACATGGCTCCAAATCGTTTGTAATGGCTCTGATTCATCCGTCTTTTGTTTACTCGAATTCTGAACTCCTGGATTCCTCGTGATTTTCGTTATTTCACATATTTGTATTTTCTTCATGAATCGCATCATCGATATCTAGTCTTTCCCATTAGCACTGGAACTTTTGCTATCTCTAATATTCTGGGATTTATCAGTATGGGGTTGTGGAGATTGTTCAGTTTTTGATTGAGATCATGAATCGATTGACGTTAGACCACCATTGAAAACCTGGAAGCACTGAACGGCCGTTTCGCACTAGTATGGGACTCCTCAGCAGTGCGCATCCATGATTCCGTACAAGGGATTCGAACACAGGACCAAAGGTCTCGCCCGCAAACGCCTAATCTCTAGACCACTGAACCGGCATTCAACCGATTTAATGTCTAACTTCAACGAATCCACGAAATTTGGTCCAGCAATTTCATTTCTCTGTGATAATGCGTCATGGCAACTTGAATCGGAGTACATACGCTGGGACTAACCTAACAGATTTGTAATTGATTTTCTTTATCAAGAAACTTTTTATTATGAA